GGCGCGCGATATGTTTACACGTGTTTAGCTCTTCCCTTCTCTGCGTACCACATGAGGCCGCGCCTAATGTCACGGCTCCAAATGCCAGCGACATAATCTCCGCCTATTGCAGGATGTAGGAGTTGCGCGATGCCAGAGAAAGCGGGAAGTTTACCCCGATCGAATGTTAGCTTCCGGTGAGAATAATCATGCAGGATCCCAGGGACATTATATGGCCGGGAACATTCCCTTGTGAGACTGTCGGAAAAGAGAATTGGTGATAGTTCCTCGTACAGCTCATCGGGGTATCTAGCGCCAGGAGGTATATCGTCAGCGCCCTTATAGCCCTCCAGACATTTCCAATATATCTTGCTGGCCCCATAGAATAGCTGCCTCGGCGACAAGACGGACTCTTGGAGCGTCCAGCCTCTGCTAGACAAGGGGCTGCTTTTATGTAGCTTGAGCAAATCCTCCCGATCAAGTTCAAGCATAGTGATTTTCAAGTCGACTTCATCACCGGAATCAGAAAGGCATTTCAATAATACTGGATGCGGTGAGGCCTCAGACTTAGGTACATTTGCGAGGATACCACGCGTGCTTCCCTTGGAGGCTAGGGCCGATATGGTGAGCGTTGCGTCTCGGTATACGAGATCCATCTTTTTAAATTCATGTTCCCAGTCGCTGTTAGAGTCCTGCATGATGCACAACGAATCTATCCAAAGATACTGAATGCCCATTTCTCGGGTGATTGTGATGGCATCTTGGAAATTGGCAGGTAGATTGCAGTATGGGAGGTTATGTTGAAATGGGCTCAGTGTCTCCGTTGTCAACAAAGGGGTAATCTTTCCACCCCAGCAATGACTAAGCGTGGTATTCCGCCCTTTCTCCATGTGTACAAATAAGGTGGCAGTCTTTGGAGGCAGGGTCAGCGCCAACATCGATTACTCGAGTGGGAAGTCTGGGTAGATGTTTCGAAGAGCATTGGGGATGCAAGTCTCTGCAGTTCCTCAACCAGTCTCGAGCAATCTGGAAATTAGCGGCAGAGGCAAGGTTAACATCAACCTGTGAGGACCCGATTCGAAATCCGTCCACTACTAATGGTTTGTCTGCTAGAACTAGTAAGCTTACAAAGGCCTGTCAATTCTGTGCGGCATGCAATACCAGCGGAAACGCTCAGCTCCAACTGGAGCATAGGCAATAACCAGTTCTCGGGAATTTCATTACCTCTTGGACCGATCTGAACTTGCAGTCCACCAGATCCGTTCTGTCGCGGGTATCTGTACGATCGATATCGGTGTCAATGCTTATCTCAAGATTAAAATGAGAGAGTTCCTTAGCGGCTGCGAAAATGGAGTGCTCAACATTGCGCTCCTTATTATACCATTTCATCGGGTACCGGTCATAAGCGGGTAATCTCTTGGAAGAGTCCAGGATCAACCTGCAGAGATCACATCCATTTTGTGCAGCTTGTTCGAGATCACCCAATGAGTGATGATGGGGGTAGAAGATGTCCCCTGGAACTCGATTTTCCTTGAATCCGGTCTTCGCCAATTGCACGAGAGATTTGATAGATAACCCAGAGCAATACTGACAAGGAGGCATTTCGATCCACGGCTAAATAAGGCGACGTGTTTGTATAAGATGTGTTGTAGGAAAGGGTCGTTTGTTCATTTGGATGATCTTCTCTTTTGTTGAACCCACTATTGTACGCATCGAAATGGTATTGGAGTGCATGCCGTTCGACAGTCTAGAACTTACGGTTACATTGAAGGCACTGTATGACCCATACGTTCCAATCAACTCAGTTTTCTGAAACACCGGCGATGCTAACCATAGGTTGATGAATACGCCTCAACGAGGCGTTTTATTAAAATTTAAAGCTCTAAACTTATTGAAGGGGGGGCGTCGTAAGTCGGTATCCGAAGACATCAACGGGCTACCCCGCGAACATCACGAGGAGACGCAATTTACATTGAGAGGCGTAAAAAAGCAAGTTTTAGACAACCGAAGACGGGCGACAAGACCTGGCAACCTTTCAGCTTTTGGCTTGCTGCATACATCTAAACCGAGCCACCCAATGCGATGCTATGCAGACCAGCCGTATCAGCCTGGCTGCATGGCCCCCGATGCAACACCTCGTGAGCCGGCACTGTGTTGTCCTTAGTTGGAATCTGCAAAGCGATAGTCTCCGTAACGCCCGGGTACTCAGTTCGATGGCCCTTGGTACTGGCATCGGCGGTATCGGCAGCGAAGATCACACCGAACTCGCCCCCGGAGACGTACGCATGGGTTGAATTGTCGTCAGGAAGAGTGATGTCCGCAAGCCCAGCAGTAAATATCACCCATCTGTGGAAAAAAAGAAAAAGAGCAAATTCGTCAGCTGTGGACTGGCATGATCCTACGCGGTGATCTTACTGTTTATATGGTGCGTTGTGCAAACCACCGTCGTAACTCGATGGTATTACGGTGTAGGACAGATTCGAAAGGGTGCCGAGCTGCGCCACAGCGCTGCCTGCCGTACCGGGGTCGCCCGACGAGGAAAAGGGATTGCTCAGCTGCCAGCATTCCAGCGTCGAGCTGCCATCTTGCGCTCCAATCGCCGTTACATTGAGTTTGGCCGATGTGGCCACCGAGCCGAACGACAGACTCGTCACTATGAAGAGGTTTGCGAAGTTGTAAAACATCTTCATTGCGAGGCTTGAAGAGTGTGTAATGGTACTGTACAACGTAGGCAGGTAAACAGCGAGAAATTTTCACACGAAATTTGGAGAAATTGGGGTTGAAATATCGAAGTTGTTACACGAATTGACGAATCGGGATGTTGGGATATGGAGTAGCTTGACCAGAACAAAGAACGTCACAAGTCTCATCTTACTCAATGAATTCTCAGGAATGACAATGCATTACATTATAAGTAGATATTGGATGTCATAGATTAGGTCACTTTACCGCCTTTTTCTTTTCATGTGTTCGGTTCATATGGTCATGGCTCGACTGCCGTTTTTTACCCTTGCTCTTTCGTGAATATATCTCCACCTAATTAAAATTATGAAATCCTTCTGCTCTACAAAAGTCCAATCTTACTACATCTTGATCTTAACTACCTACCTACTTACCTATAAGAGGTCCTCGCCCTGGGAATTGGCTGGTAAACTGGTTAGGTTTGGAGCTGGTGCTTCTCTGTGACCGCGCCTTTCCTTCAATGATGTAGGCTGCATACCTATGTACCCAAGGTTGCTGACGGCTGACAGTTTGCAGCGTGCAGCGCCCTGTATCCTAATGTCTCAGAAAGGAAAGCTGATAGACCGAGGGAAAATGCGCTGAACCACCTGGAGTAATCAATGGCGTTTATAAATATGTACATGTCAGCACTAATCTATTCGCCCATGTGAAGGCAAAGTTGTCGACATGTCTTCTGACTAGTTTGCAGTGCATCTCAACATACCACATAGCGAGGTTTCATGACGCTATGGCAGATGCGGGAAGCTCACCGGCGGGCGATAAGGCCCCGATTGGGAAAGCCACGATAGTAGGGACGACAGCGCTCTTTATAGTGCTCAGCACGCTTTTCACGGCGGCTCGGATGTACACGCGGTTCACTGTTCATCAGCAATTTTGGTGGGATGATTGTAAGTATGAGAGCTATCTTCCTAGTCATGCAGGTTGAGTCCTGATAGAATCTCAGGGGCTATGGCTACTTCTTGGATATTTACGATGGCTTTATGCGCCCTAGCCGTCGACATGGGCGAGCATGGTGGCGGGCGCAGTATCTCAGATGTTCCTGAGCAAGATCTATCTGAGTTCTCGAAGGTAAGCATTGAATGTATAGATCCCTAGTAAGCAACGCCATTCTAATTTGCTTGGTAGGCTTTCTTGGATCTTCAACCAGTAGCGAGGGTTGCCATCTTCTTCGCCAAGTTGTCTATCCTTCTTCTGTATATCCGAGTCTTTTACCCAAAGCGAGTGCGCCGAAACTCCATCTGGTGGACTACGCAGGCTGTCATCGTGCTCAACCTCTTATATACCATCGCTCTCATTCTTTTAGTAACACTTCAATGTGTTCCGTACGGCCGACCGTGGGGTGATAGTTGTGTCAATGAATGGCTCGTGCTGGTATTGTCCTCAATCATCAACATTGTAAGCGACATCGCAGTGCTGGTCATTCCCATGGCCTCGGTATGGAGTCTTCAAATGAATCGTAACAAGAAACTTGCTATATGGGCACTTTTTGCCTTTGGCGCATTGGCACCAGTTGCCAGTATAGCCCGCCTTATCTACCAAGTCATTGAAGCCCGAGGCAAGAACGAGACCGTCATCTACACTATCGTCGCTATCCTAGCCACTACGGAGCAAGTCATTGCCATCATCGTTGGATGCGCCCCTGTTGTCAGCGCTTGGGTGTTAAAGGGAGCACGAAGGACTAGGCTAAAAAGACCTGGAAATCGCACAATGACGGAACGTTTCTGGCCGAACAGAGAATCGGAGGAGCCTGAACACCCATCGATAGGCCTCCGTATGAGGAGGTTAGCTGATCCTTTTCCAGTGACGAGCGGCACTTTGCCAGAGAGTGAGGAAGTACTATGCTCATAAGTCGCCCCGTATGAGAGTGACAGAGTATCGAAAACGGGGGTAACGAGACCTGAGAACATTTTCCAGAATCAGTAGTTAATCCAGAAGAAGACAATACTTAAGGCGATGCCCAAAGCATCTGAAGAATGTCCATATTCTAAATGTTTTACTATACCTAAGGTACCTATTAAGGTAAGTACCTAGGTAAGCAAGGATAGGTGAGTGAATAAATTGAGCACTATTGATTAATTTCGATTCAGTATTTGTTTTTTTTTTCTGTAATGGCAAACTGGTAACTCATGATAGATGTTAAGATAGAGGTACTAAGAACTCCTTTCAAGCTTTGTTCAAAGCCTCAACAAATCCTATCATATAAATCTGAATCTCACGCACCCGCATGAAATTTTCAAAGTATTAACCAAGATTAACAGCAAATTGCAAAAATAGAGACCTGACAAGAGTGGGACTTGAACCCACGCGGATTGCTCCACCAGGAATCAGTTGCTAAGATTGAGACCTTAACCTGGCGCCATAACCAACTCGGCCATCTTGCCTAAGACTTTGTTGATTTTTCGGCCTGGCAAAATTTGCTATGTACAAAACTGCCCCTCTTACAGCAACCCTTTTCTTTACCCCCACTTATCCTTTACCCCGCCCCCCTTTTCCAGCCAATTTACCTAACTTTGCACCGCCCCTTTTTACATTTGAAAACCATCTTTCTTGGTGAGGTTATCTTTATACCCAATATGTCTCATCTCACTATGCTTCAGCCATTTAAAAGAGAATGTTGAAGTATTATATTTATGAAAATAATGTCAGCCGAGTCTACCATATTATCTATTCCCAATAGTTGTTTATCTATATCCTACACAATTTGCTGTTCTGCGAGGGCAAGTTCCCCAATATCATCTCCGACATCTCCCAGTCTTCTGATCCAACGGCGGTATGAGCGTAGAATACGCCAAATGGATCGTATAGCTGCTTCAATCGATATAACTTCGGATACTTATCTCCGAAGAAAGCCTGCGTGAAATTCGGCTCGATGTAGTCGGCCTCCGACATGTATGACCCAGCACCCGGCGACACGTCCCTCCAGCGCTGCATCCAATCGAACGTGAGCTTGTCGCTAGCAGCTTTCATTTCCGCCTCAGAGCTGGTAACATTCCACAGCGATGCCATGATAGCGTGCATAACGGCGTTTCGCCATGCCGGATTCACGGCATTGTCCGGGTAGCCCCTCTTTGGCGCTGCCGCGATGTTGAATCCGACTATGTATGCGCCTTCTTCCACCACGCTTTTGATTGCGTCGAAAGTCGCATTCAGCTTCGCGGGGTCTTGCCAATTGGACTTCGGGAATAAGCGGCTTGCTTGCCGGATCTGGTCGCTTCCCCAGGGCTCGACCGGGAAGCTCGCGTTCCAGGCATCATAAAAATCATCATATTCTGTGTAAATCGGATTGACTTCGATACCAATCTCTTGGAACTTAGCTAGTAAAGGAGCTACCAGTTTCTCAAGTTGGGCCTTAGACATCCCGGGAGCGAACCAAGGACCCATATCAGACGCGAACTGGCCCTGAACGGGCTGCGAGATTCTGAAATACTCGTAATTCCCGGCGTCGGTATAAGTGATAAAGCCATCGAAAAACGCGCGGAGAGCTGCCCAGAACTGTTCGGCTGTAACGGTTGGTCCAGTTTGAAGGAGATAGGTCATGGTGGTTACTTTGATCTTCGGATGCGCCTTGATGACGACCGAAGTAACTACACCGAAAGTAGAACCGCCACCGCCGCGCAAGGCCCAAAAGAGGTCTGGGTGACTCGTTTCACTCGCAGTCACGAATCGCCCATCCGCCGTAACCACTTCCATCGATAGCACCTGATCGGCAGCCAGACCATAGAGACTGGACAAGGGTGAGTGGCCACCGCCGAGCAGGAAGCCTCCCATAACACCAACGGTCTAAATCTTCAGTCAGAAAAATTGCATCGCTTATTAGTTCATGGGGTTGCGTATTACTTACCCGACCCTCGCCGCCAACTATTGTGACTCCATTATCCCTCGCAGCTTCGTACGCCTCGTAAGCCTGAACGCCAGTGCCGAGTTTGAAAGCAGGACCATAATAGCTGCCTTGCCAATAATTCCTGAAGAACTGGATTTGCTTCAGGTTATGGGTCCAGATTGAGAGTGCACCCATCCCTACCGACTTGGCGCTAAAGTCGTGGCCCGTGTTCTTGATTACCAAACGCAAGTTCAGATTACGAGCAAAGTTCACTGCAAGCTGGATCTGCGCCACATTGCGAGCGGTGATTGAGTAACTTGGGTAGCCGCCAACTGTGCATCCACCCTTTGAGGGTACGAGAAGAGGTGGCATGCATGTTGCGCCTTGGAATAAGACAGCATTGACTGACGTAGGGTCCTCGGTACTGTCGTAAATGTTTAGGTATCTCATCATTTACGTTTGGGACTATGACATACTGGTAAATGGATGCATTGATCCAGTTGTTGGTGATGAAGGAACATTTGCTCGTATTGTAATCACCAAACGAGTCATAGCAAGAGGCTGCATAAGGAACCGTCTCAACAAGAGCCCCGCCAAGGAGAATGTTGAAGAGGTTCCAGACGGGTTCAGAAGGCCAAAAGAAATCCCCTGGATACGTCTTGCATCTTCCAAAGAAAGTTCGTTTAGACAGAGTCTCCTCTGTCGAGTTTGTTCCGTTCTGGAAGCTAAACAGCGTAATGTTGGACACCTCAAGGTCTGTAAGGTTAGCCAGTACCGCGTCAGTCAGTTGCAGCGTCTCCCCTTCGAACAAGTCCGCCGTTGAGTTGGACTCCTTCGCATCAACAACAGCTACAGCAGGAGCAAGCGAAGACTCATTGGCCGCTGATAATGTTGTTAGTTGGCATTCATCTTTACATATTCTGAGAAGATGAACTGACAAATTGGGACATCATCCACGACGATTGTTTGGGCGCGGATGAGGTGGCCCAATAGGGTGGCTACGGCGGCGGTCCTGAGCCAAGACATCGGTGCCACGTGTGCCCAGAAAGCCGGCACAAGTTGAGCATACAATGAATAAGAGATATTGAGCGGCCGACACGCAATGCGTCTACCTCGGACGTATATACTCTACATATTCTTTTGGATCTTACGATATCTTTCTGATCAAGTGGAGATACCGGCCGGGGTGCCGTATAGTTTCAAGGCTTCTAGCATGGATCAGTGTTGCCGTTCGCTGACAAAGTTGCAACAGTAACAGCAGATCCATAACACGACCTAAAGATCCCTCATCCATGGTAGTTCTAGACAGCCGACTAGGACTATCGGCGGCAACTCTGCAGTTTTGCCGAGGACCCGCTAGGCTCTGACCTGGTAAGGGACGTTAAGCTAGTCAGGTACCACGATATGTAGGCTTCTAACAGTAGGCCAACACTTGGTAAAGATGGATTTTACATTGGAAGAGGAGATATATATATGTAAGCTAGTCGAACAATGTTTATTAATCAAAGCTGATGTTCTAGAAGCCACCTCAATCAACCTAGAATCCAAGGCGAGGAAGCCAGATAGGATATGTAGAAGACCCTACCTTATCACCTTGGAAGAATATTGACTATTCAAATACAGACTGCAAGCTTCATAAATTGCGAGGGAGCCCTCTGTTATTTCGTCCCGATAAAGCCGTGAGGCGAGGAGGTTTGCATTCTACCCCAACCCTTGCGGGCTGGTTACATTCTCAGCCGTCCTGGATAAAAAGGCCAGCGAATGAGATAAAAGCCATTAAGCGAGCACCACATTCTCGAGCGAAACTTTACCCCAGGTATTCTCTGGTTCTTCTAAGAACGGGCCGTGTTCTAGATTTGCACACTCAAGCTCCTCTCCACATGAGGCCCCTGTGATCTTCACTGCGATGATGCCGGGGTACCCAACCTTCCCCCTTGCTTGGCTGCCATTAGATGTAATGGTCAAGAAGTCAAGACGTTCTATTGTGGTAGCGGTAGCCTACGCGTAATATACCCGATCACGAATATGAGTATCGCCGAAGCAAGAGTGTGTCCACGAGACAGCACTCGTCTTCTACGGACATGACAGATGGATTTGTCAGTTGCGGTACTTATCATTGGTCTCTTCATTTCATACGGATCTCATTCGCGAGATCATATCCCAGCATGACAGGAACAGTCTATGCGATCAATCTAAACGAGCCAACACATAGACCTTAGATTTCATTAGGTGTACATATCATAGCCAGCGACTCGGAAAGGCCCGAAGACGCAACCCATCGCATCGCATTGCAGGCCAATGCCGTTCGAAGTCAAGAACACCAACCAAGCAATCAAGCATATGCAAAGCTCCAGAGAGAACCTGTATAAACTGCTCTTGGCTGCAGAGGAGATCCCGTTTGCGTCTCACACCAGCCCCGGTGAAATGATTGCTTTTAACCAGGTACGGATGTGGTGAATTGACGTAAAGAGGCTGAATTGGTGAGGTCTGGCCAACAGGACCGCTTCACGGAGCGCGCAGGCCCCTCCGTGTTTCTGTTCTCCTGGGTGTGATGGCACCTACTTTATATCATTAAATTTTGGTACTCATTCAACTTCTTGGCCATGCCGTTATATAGAGGCTCATGTACGTTCGACGCGGGCGCGCTACCACTTCGTCTTTGAGACCGAGTACGTTAGATGTGATGCTATGTGGATAGCAGCTATCCCATGAAGCAATGGAGTCTTCTCTCTATCCTTTCCTCTCAAGTGTGGCTAGGAGGCAGTCCATGGAGGGCCCAGGCAAGCCTTCTGGTGATGTCACTGATGCTTACCCCTATTCGCAACTCCAACATGGAGGTTTCTTCATCTTATTCTTCTTCCCCGCAATCGCATTTATCGTGGTGGTTCTTAGGATCTATGGCAGAGTAAGGAGTAGGCAGTTCGGATGGGGTGAGTAATTGATCGGAACTGGGGCTTCGAGGATATACTCATTCCTTGAGTTCTAACTAACGCCCTTGGTAGACGATGGTCTAGTATGTGTGGCAATGGCTTTCTCGATAGCTGAGACGGGATGCTCTTATATGGGTAAGCACCGAGCAGACATCTCAGCATACTCTGCCATACCCGATGGATAGCGTAGTAGCTGACCCCTTTTTTCCTCTACAGCTATGCGAACGGCATTCTTAGGAGTACACGTTTACGATATCCCTATTACCGCCGACGTCAGCCTCGGAATGTACTGGAACTATATAATACAGATCATATATAACCCGATCCTCGCTCTCGTCAAGTGTTCCGTCTTAACCTTCCTCCTGCGAATAGGAGGTCAGAGACGGAAAATCAGATATTCCATCCACGCACTCAACATCTTCACCATCGGACTAATGGTCGCCATCTTTATTACTGTGCTTTTCCAGTGCTCGCCTATCTCTTATTTCTGGAAACGCATCACCGATCCGACATTACCAGGAAAATGCATCGATACTGGGATTTTCTACGTGACAACGGCTGCGTTGACAATCTTTACGGACGTTTTGGTGCTCGCACTTCCATTTTGGATATTTATGGGATTGAAGATGGC